ACCCCCTATTAGTGGCAGGGGGGGGGGAGCTGTTTACGACCCCCCCTTGATATCTCGAGATCTAACGGGCCGATTTTCAAAATTCAAACGGCGTTCGATTTCGCTCAACGTGATCTACATTTCTAAAAAATAAAAATTAAAAAATGTTAATAGGGGGGGGGGGTAGAGGGGGGTAAAAACGGGCATATTGCAGATACATTTTAGACTGTTTATCACGGCCAGGTTTCTGAACCAATCTTAACGCAACTTTTGCCGATCGATAGACAATGAACCAGGAATTCACATGGATCCCAAAAATATGCATTTTCAAAAATCATAGGCGGATGCAGGTCATTGAGATTGGGGGTAGGTACACAAAAAGTATAGTAAATAAGGTTTTTGTTGGTACTGTTGCTAAAAATGGTGGTAATGGTCTTGTTATGTTACAATTTTCTTATGAGAAAACGACTACAATTGTATTGGTCATGCATAGGCGGTGTCAGGGCACCTATGTTGGGAGGTAAAACATAACCCCCCTTTTTGGACGCCTGGATCCGCCTATTATAGCAAAAACGTGTCAAAAGAGGATGCACAATAACTGTATATGTAATCACATGATACCTTTCATTCACTGTTCGTAAAACTGGTGCAGCATCGTGATCTTCGCCCAAATGACTCGCTTCACGAATAGGACCCCCCGATTCCCAGTGCTCTGGAGCCGCCCCTGGTAAAGTTATGAACTTGAAATTTTCAGGGAATGTGCCCAATTTAGTTTTAGGAAAAGTCAGAAAATTTCAGCATCGTAGCTTCAGCGGTTTCGGAGATATTCCCGAAAAAACCTGAGGGGTGGATAAAAACAACCCCCCCCTGCCACTAATAGGGTTAAGGGATGAGGGATAGGAGGCACAGGTCTGGACCCTTCGACTGAGGTTAGATATTGACCCGAGGAATCGATTGCGACCATTATTTTGGCGATCAGACGAAGCCTTGGGGCACTTTTGACGCGCCCCGTCCTTTAACCCTCGCCGGCCGAGGGGGGGGGGGGCGGGTGCCGCCCCCCCATAGGGCTTTTTCGCGATAGCTCCGAGCACGCTGGCGATAGAGAGCTGAAACTTGGCATATCTGACCTATGATCCAAGCCGCATCTTTTGACACCAACTGCATTTTTGGGTCAGGTCAGGTCACTGACCTATGACGTCATAAGTGAACCTCTGCACGGTCTTCAGATGTCGCAACTTCGCAACGCCCTCACTGCCAGAGGAGATGTCACAGGGAAATGAAACTTGCAGGATCTAGTATCCATTATGAGTCCCACAACTTGTATATCTCGGATTTTTCCTAAAGGTCATATGAGGTCAGGTCATTTTCGTGACCTCACCATTATAAGTCAATGGGGAAAAATGAAAACTGCTATTCTGGCGCCGGGAACGATCTCCAACTATCTCAAGCACACAGAATCGTGATTTTATGCACTCCTTGCAAGGTTAGATGCGTGACTTTGGCAATGTTGACCTTGCGTGACGTCATTTATGACGTCATCAATGTCATATTAGTTTTTCGTCAATAACTCTTGATCAAATTGAGCTAGCGAGTCGGGAAAGCCACCAATGGACTCAGGAAGACCTGGCGAATCGAATGATATGCGACATGACCTCTTTCGACCAACTTCGTGACCTGGGGGTGCTGACCTGACCTTGACCTGAGGTCAACACCCCAAGTTGACCTGACCCGGACAAAAAGCATATCATTCGACGCGCCTGAGCCAGACGAACACGATGCTGCCAAAATCGGCGCTCTGCGGCCGTTTTTTGCGAAGTTATTCACCAAAAACTGAACCGTACCTTGGGGCACTTGACCTGACCTCAGAGGTCACCGGTTGACCTAGGACCTTAAAATCGGGTACCAATCTCTGCGTCTCGTAACGGCGCACACGCTCGTTTTTTCCGCGACGCGCTAGCTCCACCAGGGGCGAAACGGCGAGGGGGGGGGGTCGTACCCGCCCCCCCCCCCCCCTCGGCCGGCGCGTATGTAGAAAACCAATAGGTCCGGCGAGGGTTAACCCGCGCACCGACGGGGGGGGGCGGATATCCGCCCCCCCCTGAGGTTTTTCGCGGATAGCGGAAAAACCGCGGCGCGTAGCACCGCGAAATTTGGTATGACTATTCTCTCATCAATTTTACACATGGTGTGCAAGTTTGAACCTCCTAACTTTTAAGGTCAGGTCACCAGGTCACTTTGAATGACCCAACCTCAAGTCACTTTTTTGCAACTTTGTCACCGTGCCAGAGCTACAGTAGATGTCGGAGGCCTTTGAAAGTCGCAGGATGTTATTAGGTCATTAGTAGCTACAAGTTGTATATCTCGGAATTTTGATGTCGGTGACCTAAGGTCAGGTCAATTTCGCGACCTCCCCATTATAAGTCAATGGGGGAAAAATCAACTCCCTGTTTTTACCACTAAAACGGGTCGGAATGGCCCCATATACCATACATGATTTCACATACGATCAACCTTCACTACCTTGAGGTCTGTTTTGCTGTTGGGCAGCTGTAAGGTCATGTGATGTCATCAAAGGTCACCAAAGGTTTTTTGCCAATAACTCCTTACAGGAACAAGATACAGCCGCGCGGATGGTCTCATTGTGTTCAGCTCGTCAAGACGCATCGAATGATATACATGATGACCTCGAGGTCACGTGACCTGAGGTCAACCTTTGACCTTGACCTTTCGAGGTCAACATATATATCATTCGATGCGGATTGACGAGAGGATCACGATGATGCCCTTAGTTTGTTCCTATCTTGACTACTTCGAAAGTCATTCGAGAAAAACCCTCTCCATATCTAGCGCCGCCATTTTGACTTTTTCGACCCCTGTGACGTCATCTTTGACCTGACCTGAAAATGACCTTAGTAAAAATTGTAGACCTTGTCCGTGCGTATCCGATGCCGTTTACCGCTTGTCGCTATCTTGCTTCGTTCTCGAGATCTCAGGGGGGGCGGTCATCCGCCCCCCCCGTCGGTACTAAGTTGGCGCAGACCCCCGTCGGTGCGCGGGTTAAGGGACGATTAAGGGATGAAGGAAGGGAGCTAGGGCAAAATAAATGTCATATTCGTGTTCCCCGTCCCCCAATTGACCTGATGGCAGTTTTTGAAGCGATTCTGAATCCGACGACGCTGTATTCGTTGCTGTTGCTGACGCTAAGTTCACGGAAATCAGTAAACCACACGATGTAGGGGCAGTTGTCACCTCGCCGCTCTACTGAAGGCCCGGAGCTCTTTGAAGCGCTGGAAGTTGTGAAAAACGAACGCGTATAATCTGAATAAAATATATGTCCCTTAGCTCAGAATTGATCAACGCACACAATGCTGTCAAAAATTTTGGGCCAAACTAAAAAATTCAGTCATTATTAACCCCCAAACACAAGTCAGTGATAATCAACAACTTGCTCTTTAGTTAGACTTCTTGAGAAATGTTATTTCGAGCCGCTAAAAATGACCATGCCATACAAACCACTAGTCATCTTTCTGTCATGCCCTTTTCGCAATTTTTGCTAATGCCTGCTACTCTTCGAGGTCACGTGACCTCACCATTAAAAGTAAATGGGGAATTAAGGAAACTGTTGTTTTTGCACATGGAATGATCTCAAACTGTCTCAAGCACACGGAATCGTGATTTCATGCACTCCTTGCAAGATCCGATGCTTTACTTTTGCATTTTTGACCTTCCGTGACGTCATTTATGACGTCACTACGGTCATAGGAGTTTCTCGTCAGTAACTCATGATCGAATTGAGCCAGCGACTCGGGAAAGCCACCAATGGACTCGGAAAGACCTCCCGAATCGAATGCTATGCAATACGACTTCCTTCGATTAACTTCGTGGCCTGATGGGCTCTGACCTGACCTTGACTCGAGGTCAACACCTTAAGTTGACCTCACCCGGACAAAAAGTATACCATTCGACGCGCCTGAGCCAGGCGAACACGATGGTGCCGAAATCGCTGCTCTGCGACCATTTTTTTTTTTTGCGAAATTATTTACCAAAAAGCAAACCCTACCTTGGGCTTTTTGACTTCACCTCAGAGGTTACCGGTTGACCTGGGACCTTAAAATCGGGTATCAATCGTTCCGTCTTGAAACGGCGCACACGCTTGTTTTTTCCGCGAGGCTCTAGCTCCATTAGGGGCGAAACGGCGAAAAGGGGTCGTACCAACCCTCCCCCCTCGGCCGGCCGAGGGGATGGGGGGTCCGACAATAGGTCCGGCGAGGGTTAAGCAGCTCCACTTCGCTTTTAGCATGTTTGCTTGTCACTGAGATCAACAACTCAATCACAGATAATTTCTAGCACTTTTCCGGGCCCCCGGCCCAGTGTGCGACCTTTGCAGCGGCGCGGCGGCCGGGCAGCGGGCGAAGTCCCCCGCGCCGTCCGCGCCGACCTCTGCCACCCCGTATAGGACCGCCACGGCGCACGTCACGCGCACAGGGAAGCAGTAGGGAATGTCGCCAAATAGCAGGGCGTCACCAATTAGCCTCACCGTATGTAATACGCGGGATAATGACCGCCCTTGGCTACTCTGGTGAGCGCGCGGCACTGAGGACGCTGGTGGGCGTGTGGTGAGCGTGGGCGGGTGCCCACGCTAATGTAGTGCGCTGGGTGAATACGTGCACGACTCGCAGAGCGCCGCTGCCCACGGATTCCAGAGCCGGTACCGGGCCGTGGGGGAGGGCAGAGGTAAACTCCCGGCGGCGCACGGGCCAGACGACCACACACAGACACACCGAGAGTGACGAGGCGCGGTGGCGGGCGAACGTGAATACACGAGTGAATTGAGCGAATCGCCAAGCAGCCCTCGCACTACCGACCCTCAGTCCCACGCCTTCAGTTGAGTACTAACATTTACGATCCAATATCCATCCCACTAATTCATACATATATTGCTGCGATCCGACGCTCGGCGGGCCCGGGGGCGCGGCTGTAGCTGTACTCTGAGCCATCCACGTCCTCTCAGTGCATTCACGTGAAACTGGTAACTTTATTGACAACTCATTTACACGATTAACGGTAGGGGAGTTTGATCGAGAAAAGGGGCGGGGCGGGACAGGAAGGGGGAGGGGAGGGGGAAGCGGGCACCGGCAGCGCCCACCGAGAGCGGCTCCCGAGGGCGCGGCGCACCCTACTGCATAGCTGGCCGGCCCGCGGCCGCAGTGGGCGCCACAGAACGCAACGCAACTCACGCTGAACGAACGCGCCGCACACACAGATAACTAGGTCTGAACTCATATACACAGCCGGCGGCCGGAGCGGGACGGGGCGCGGGCGCACCCGGGACGCCGCGCCACCAACCATTCGGACGCGCCCCGCGACTTCGTCACCGCCGCCGCCGCCGTTTGGCACATCCGTGTGCAAAAATATGGGAGTGTCTCGGGTACCGTCCCTGAGGGCGGCGCGGGCGACCCAGCGGCGGCGCCCCGAGGCGCGCCTCACATACAGCCTACTCTACAACAGCGTCAAGGTGTGTGGTGAGGGTGCGGCGCTCCGTGCAGGCCGCACCGCCGACTAGACACTGGAATGGGGCGGCGAGCGAGCGAGCGCCGGCGCGCCCGGACGACCGCGCCCTCATCGCACGTCCGAAATGTTGACCGACGAGCCGAATATCTTCTGCAGCTCCTCCTCGTAGTTTTCCATCTCGCGCTTCATGACATCCATGCAGGGGCCGAGCAGGCGCTCGAACGCCTCGCGGTCGAGGAAGGCCAGCCGCACGTCGCCGACCGCGTAGGCCGAGGCGGCGCGCGGGTTCTTGGTGATGAGCGCCAGCTCGCCCAGGTAGCCGCCTTTCTCGATGACGTTTATCTGGCGGCGAAAGGCGCCAGGGTCACCGGCGCACACTGACCAGCACAACAGATTCGACGGGAAGTCGTTTCGAGAACAAACCACAGTTCCTTTCATCGTGTGCCTTCAGCTTTGCATGCACCGTGCAATGGAAAATCGAGCGTTTCCGAGCTAAGAATGGGAGCTGTCCGTCACAGTCCGGTACCGAGAGCAAACACCGGACGGCTGGCGAACAACAGCGCCGCCTATAAAACTGGGTTACATGAACAAGTAAATGCGTATGAGGAACGGAATTTCCTGTCCGCTCACCATTGCAGTCCGTTTGTAACACGCAATTTACTGCACTCATGCACCCCGGTCTATACGTCAGGCATTAAACCTCGCACAGCCTTGGATACAATTTAGTTGCTTCGGGACCAAATATTACGCCTTGGCAAAGATATGGACAGTGGATACCCTATTTTCTCATCTATTTTCACCCAACAATTAACTTTCGTCTGTATGCCCAAGCATGCAATGCGGTAACCCCACCACTTTCGGGACTTTGTATTATAACGAGTATGCAGCTCTGTAGCTCCAACGTCATGACACAAAGGACCAGCCAGTTGGGGAACGCCTTAGAACAGAGAAATGAAACTGATCACTTTTTCCTGATAGAAGTGGCCGTGGCACTGGGCGGCTACGTTCCGTTGGCTGGGTAGTGCCGCGGGCGGCCGTTGGCGGGTGCGGCCCCTGCCGTCCGACTGCTGCGCGGCACGTACCGCGGCTACTCCCCCGCCCCCCCCCCCCCTCCCCCGGATCACGGCACAATGCCGACGCCGCCGCCGGCGCGCACAAATAAACGCCCAGCTGTGTATTATCTCAGACGAGCCCGGCTGCGCAGGAGCCGGCCGGCAGCGGCGCCCGTACCGACTCTATCGGCTGCTGCCGGCCAGCAGCAGTGGCGCCCGTACCGACTCTGTATGGGGTCCGACGGAGCCGCCCAGCAGCAGTGGCGCCCGTACCGACTCCGTATGGGATCCGACGGGGCGGGCCAGCAGTAGTGGCGCCCGTACCGACTCCGTATGGGGTCCGACGGGGCCGGCCAGCAGTGGCACCCGTTCAGACACTATCGGCTCCGCCAAACATTATCTTTGCCACCCGCTTTTGCACAATGTCTGGTTTCTTAGGTAAAAAATGGGTGCTTATAATTGAGATGGGCATCGACTTTGCAATAAATTAAGCAAAATTACTTTTTAGCCTAACGAATGTGACATTTCAACAGTGGCATTTACGTCGTAGGAAGTTGTAAAATCTATCCCTTTAAAACATTTGATTTCTTTTCACTCCGTTAGCCTCTCCGAACCCTAACAGATATTAAAAAACACTGTTATTGTTACTGTTCCTGAGTTATTGAACATTATGGTTCAAATCTGTAGCACAGTTTATGGAAAAGGTTCCTCATTCGTTGCAATTCTCGTTAGTGCGTGGATCAGAGTCCCCCGCCCGGCTCACCTGGACTGTCCGAGTCCCCCCGCCCGGCTCACCTGGACCTCCGCCTGTCCGTGCTCGGTGCGTGTGATGCGCACGGTGCCCTCCTCGACAAAGTACATGCCGTCGGCCTCGTCGCCCTGCTCGATGATGAGCTCCCCGTCGGTGAAGGTGCGCGGCACCAGCGCGTCGGCCAGGTTCATCCGCTCGTACGGCTGCCGGCGCGACCGAGACCAGTCAGAGGGGACGGCGGGGCCAGCCCGAGCCGGGGAGAGGACCGGGCAGGGGCCAGTCCGAACCGAGGAGAGGACCGGGCAGGGGCCAGTCAGAGCCGGGGAGAGGACCGGGCAGGGGCCAGTCCGAACCGGGGAGGGACCGGCCCGCCCGGGAATTCATTGCTCCAGGGACATCCTCCGACCCAGCCGTCCCAGCGAATCCCGCCTTTATATGAACCGAAACATCACTAATCAAGTATTTCGTTTCAAAGAACTTATTGCATGCTGCAGCAGAAGTTTGTGGTACCTACCAGAAAGAAATATGATTCCGCATCAGCGATGTCATGCGAAACCTCTCTAACGCGGGTAACAAAAACACAATGCTAAAGAGATATTGACTTTCACCGTAACAAATACCTACCAATTCAATCAAACGAAAAGCCAACATCGATATGACTTTATCTCGGTGCCAACAATAGTCCGAACATGCATAAATACATGGGCATTTCCTACACAAGCATTCATGCCGATCCGTGTGACGTGCAGATTGATAAGCCATTTGCATAAGTTGAGATGGAGCGTAATTCTGGATCAATCAATATTTGCCCTCAGTAACCGCCCATAGCCGGGGTAGCTACTGAACGCAGCTCAGACAATATTAGGCGATACTCGCGATCAGTTACCGCCCATAGCGACACCAGGTCCAGTGCGAAAAGGGCTCCTAGGACATCCCAGGGCACGTATGATGAGGACAATTTGGAGTCAATAGCTATTCGAGTTCAATCAAGGCGATGGGTTTATCGGGCGGTCCTAAGACAGCCCACAGAAAAACTCGGCGCTCCACTTTCACGGATACGTTAACAGAAATGCCTCAGAGGGTGCAAGTCAGCCGAGCCCCTCCCTCCGGCCACGCGGGCAGCTCTGCGCGGTGTCCGAGCGCTACCAGACCGTCACCGTTCACCCGGAGCGCCGCCGGGGCGGGGTGCGGTGCCGGGCCGCGGTGCGGTGACACGGCGCTGCTGCCGGCGGGTCTGAATGGCCCGGTGACGCCTGCCGGACGCCGCCGGCGCGCAACTGGGCGGATCCGGCGCCGCCGCTCGATGGACCATCATTGACGACATTACCTGACAAGATACACATCCTGATACAATAGAGCAGCACGCCGACCGACCATCGCCGGCCCGCCGGCCGCAGACACGGTCTCCGTGGCCACTACCGGGAACGATACAAGGAGAGTTCTACGAGGACACAGTAGGCATTACTGTGTCCTCGTAGACCCGGTAGTGGTCTCCGTGGCCACTACCGGGAGCGATACAAGGAGAGTTCTACGAGGACACAGTATAAATATCGTGGTAGTTTTACACAAAGATAAAGAAATAGAATCTCTTCTCGCCTGCCTTACGCCCATCGAGCTTGTTGCGCAGGAGCCGACAGTGGCCGTCAAATTGAGAAATTCCAGCATGTAGTCCGAAGAATTTAGAAACCACTAGCCAATAGGAGAGGTATTGGCCATCGCATCCATTAGTCTTGTACTCACTGGCTCAGACTACTGGGGAAGATACAGCCCAACACGTATCAGTTGGAGCGACTCGATGCCGAGCTCTCACCACCAGAGTCCCACCACGCCCAGAGCAGGAGGCCGACCGGGCCACGGACGCAGCGGCCGGGGTCTGCAGTCGCCGGTCCACATCGGCGGCCGGGGTCTGCAGTCGCCGGTCCACAGCGGCGGCCGGGGCCTGCAGTCGCCGGTCCACAGCGGCGGCCGGGGCCTGCAGTCGCCGGTCCACAGCGGCGGCCGGGGTTTGCAGTCCGGTCCACAGCGGCCGGCGCGGCCGTCCCACCCGGCAGGGCGGCTGCCGCCGGTGTGTGTGCACGCGTATGGACTGCATCTAGCGCTGAGCTGAAGGAGTACGGCCATCTCTGGGGCCCGCGGCGGTCAGCACAGCTGGAGAGACATGCCGTCAGTCACACTGCTGGACCGAGGACCAGCCGTCAATTACGCTACTGTACCGAAGACCAGCCGTAAGTCACACTGCTGGACCTAGGTAAGAACTGTAGTTAGAAACCTGCCGCCAGCCACAACAGGATAGAGGTGTGGACCGAGGTCAGCTGGCAGCTGGACAGACGGTCCTGCCGTCCCTTACACTACTGGACCAAGGTCAGCACAGCAGGGAGACCTGCTGTCAGCTGTCAGCACAGCTAAAGACCTGCCGTCACAACTGGGGAGCTGCCGTCAGCACCACTGGGGAGCTGCTTTCAGCACAATTGGAGACCTGCCCTCAGCCCAACTGGAGAGCTGCCGTCACTCACAGCAGCTAGATGATGATGATGAATTGGGGTTTTTGGGCGCCCGGACTACAGTGGTCATCGGCGCCCATTGCAGCAGCTAGAGCAGCTAGACCTGCCTCACTGCCAGACCGAGATCAGAGCGGCAGCTAAAAGGCTGCCGTCAGCACAGCTAGACAGAGGTCGACCTGCCGCCAGTCGGACTGCTGGACAGACTGACCGCCCCGGCGTCACCTGCACACGTCCACCGGACAGGGACCCGCCATCCCCGCAACGGTCCGCCAACCATCTAGGCTGCTCCTGGCGCTCGCGAGGTCCAGTTGTATCCGTGGACCGGACCAGTCACCTGGGCCACTAGTTTTCGATCGCGAGGTGCTCACTCGGGGGAGGGGGGGGGGGCTCAATGGACACGCGCACGTCCCGTTTGTCATTTATGTTTTGAACCGACTATGCAGTATGCGCACACAATGGGGACGCTCTCTGGAGAGGCCTTGAAAACTGTGCGCCCCAGAAAACTGAGCATTCAGGTACAACAGTTTCGCCCGCCTGGAGCAGCGACGAACGTTTAGGAGGGAAGGAGCACGGAAGAGGCAAAAGTTCATATTGTTGGAGGTTAAAGTTAAAAGTGAATTGGTGTTAAACTTAAAGTATACCTACACAGCAGCCACAATGGAGGCGGGGTTGAAGTGGTATTCTGGTATTGATCTAACGTTTAGTTAGGAGGCTAAAATTTGCAACTAAAATGTGCTATTTAATGATGAACCAGGCCTGTCTACTGTCTAGAATAAGTTGATGGGTAAAGACATAGGTAATATCCCCTTTCAGAGCGTATCAATGTCATACTTGATAAGTTCGTCGGCAAAAAACATTACTGCTCAGTTTCCCATCGTACGGTACGCACCTCGAGAGCCTTAAGCATTGGCACCGTCTCCAGCAGCGACTCGTACATTTTCCGCTTCTTGAAGGCGTTCTTCAGCACGATACGCCGAAACGTCTGCCGGTCCATGGCCCACAGCGAGCCCTCCTCGTCCGCCTGGAGCACGGAGCGGGGCATGTCAGCCTGGAGCACAGCACGGGGCATGTCAGCGCACAGAGCACACAGTGGGTGCATCAGCACACGGCATGGCAGTGCACAGCACGGCGCGGGGCATGTCAGCGCACACAGTGGGTACATCAGCGCACGGCATGTCAGCGCACAGAGCACAGTGGGTACATCAGCACACGGCATGTCAGCGCACAGAGCACACAGTGGGTACATCAGCACACGGCATGTCAGCACACAGCACAGCAAGGGGCATGTCAGCGCACAGAGCACGGCGCGGGGTATGTCAGCACACCGGGGACGGTGAAACCCTCCAGCACACAGCGGGAGGTCACCAGCACACAATATCAGTCAGCACACAGAGCATAACGTGATCTGTCGGCACACAATAGTCATCAGCACTAACATTACTCAGCACAGAGATCAAAGCAGGATCCCATCAGCACGCACACAGCACAGCGGGATCTGTCGGTCAACTCAGAGTCGTCAGCACACAAGCCACAGCGGAAGCGCATTCGGTGTCGACGACCGACGCTATGACGGCTCTGTTCAGCCAGCGCAGGGTTTCAGCAGGAGCATGTCTAACTGAAACCTCACGCCAGGGAGGGGCAGTCATGGAGGAACGTGTGAATGCGGCGGACGTGGACTGACGGTGCCGACTGCTCGCCACACTATCAGCGAGACGGTCCGGCCGGGAGCACCGCACCCAGCTGCCTCTCCGGGCCACAGGCCACACCAACATGGAAACGGACCCGCCCACCCAGAGACTACAAATAACGCCCCATCAACGGAACGGACGGACAACGCCCCGTCGGACACATCCGCTACGGGCGGAAAACCGGTAACCAGCAGACAGCTGAGTCGACACCGGGTTTTATCGGCATTGGCGGCGACCACGGCCACCGTGCTTATGCGCCACACTATTCCGAACAACCAAAACAGAAGTCGCTGACAGGAAAACGCTCCACGAGCCTGAAAAATGTCTAATTTCACCCTTAACCGGACTCACATCACATAGACTCTCATATAAGGTCCTAGACAAAATAAAAGATTTCGGCCTCTAATCGCACGAGAAAGAACAGGTCACGCTACTGTAACAGCCTGGGCTGCAGTCAAGTTGGTCTGTGCGTGAAACAGCACGGCCCGGTGGCTCGTTTAGCCGCCACTGGAATCTCACGGTGATTGTGGCCGCCCGGGGCATGTTGTACATGAGCGCCAGCTCGCCGAAGCTGCCCTTGTTGTCGTAGCTGCCGACCTTCTTCGGCTCTGCGCTGTCGTCCATCTTGACGTAGATGCTGTACCGGCCGCTGTAACAGAGACCAGGCGGCGTGTCAACAATGGGGGAGCACACGCACGCTGACATGTATTAGGTAGGGTTCTGTTCATGCGCAGGGGTGGATCAGCAGTCAGCACGTCAGGCTGAGCTCCGCTATCATGGCATTGACATGCTGACCGCATAGAGAGACATTGACTCCAGCGAAGGCATTTTACCCACATAATGCGGCAGCTATGCAGCAGTCAATAAAGAAATCTTGGGTCCACATCAACCTAAAGCAATTTTCCCCCTAAACGAAGCGATCCGCTCTACCAGTTCTAATTCAGGCTTTTTAACAGCAGGAGGATCAGCGTTCTAGCGTTGCCAATCCGTCTGCTCAGAAACCTGTAGCCAATACCGCTGGTATCAAAAAGCGTCCCTCTGGCCGGCAATATCCGGTCTCTGTGTTTCGGACAAAGGGCGCACGACACTGGAACCGGCGCCCACCGGCCGCGGTGGCCGCTGCAGAGCGCCATATTGCTGGGCACGTGGACAATGGCCGTCTGGTTTTACTGCGATCTGCGGAGAGCCGGCCGGCTGGACGGCGGCGGCGGCGGCGGCGCGGCTCCGATCAGACCGGGCGGGCCACCGGCGGGCACCGGCGGGCCCGGTCACAGCAGTGTGTGACGGCACCAGACCGGGCCGGGTCACAGCAGTGTGTGACGGCACCAGACCGGGCGGGTCACAGCAGTGCACCGCCGTGCACCGGGTCACCGCAGTGTGTGACGGTACCAGACCGGGCGGGTCACAGCAGTGCACCGGCGGGCCCGGTCACAGCAGTGTGTGACGGTACACGGTACCAGACCGGGCGGGTCACAGCAGTGCACCGTCGGGCACCAGGTCACAGCAGTGTGTGACGGCATCAGACCGGGCGGGCCACAGTAGTGCACCGGCGGGCCACCGCCGTTCACCGGGTCACAGCAGTGTGTGACGGCACACGGCAGCGTGCATGTCTGACATTTTAGGCAGACACAGGCTCAACGCTATTCTCTCACGCATGAGCGAACATAATGCACATGCTGGTGGGGTGACAGGCTCATCCAATCCCATTAGCCGTTGGGCCTTGCGAGACGGGTAGCCTGCAGTGTGTGCGAGGCTAATGCATAACAGTGACCTGTACCGTGTCAACCGTGATGACATTTACAAATAATTCCCAAAAACGACATTCACGAGGAAGCTGGAAATGAAATCTATTCGGCCCTATTCAAACTTTGCAAAGCAACATCGGTTTAAGCCAGTCACAAAACCTCCAAGAAAATTGGCAGTTTTCGAGTTTGCTTATTAGCCTAATTGGGCTTAACATACCAATTGGAGCGTCCCTCGCCAAATGTTAGCCACCATTAAAACAGTGAGGTCAATAGCAAAGCCTAATTAGGGGACATGAGCTTGGCAGGACTGGCTGGAAGTTTGGTTCACCGGTTATCGTTCCCTGTCTCGACGGGAAACCGGCGGAACGGGAGACATTCTCAAACATTCAATTCAAGGGGAATAGGAGAGACAACACCGTACGATACGAGTGAATGTATGTGAGTGATGCGGTCCTCCCGCCGTCCCGTCACCAGTCGGGTCTCCAGCGCGGACCCCTGTTCGGCGGCGGCCGCCGGGGAGCGGCCGACTGCCGGCGCTGACCACCGGCAGGTCATCTTAGCCCAATGACGCTCATCCTTTCCAAGCGATCAAAGGGAGTGGCCGTCTCGGACTGTGACTGCCTGTCTTTTATGCAGCGCCAGTGGAATAATGATGGCGGGGCCGGCTGGCACGTCGCCCGTCGGAGCTGCGCAGCGGCCGGCGGCGCGCCGTCTACCGGCGGCGGCGCCATCGACCGCGGCGCCGCCGTGGGCCGGGCTGCGCGGCCCGCTCTCGGGCGGCCACCTGGGGGCGGCGGCCGTCCGCGGACCGGAGGCCGGTCTCAGCACGGCCCGGGGCCGTCCCCGGCGGCGGCGGCGGCCGTGGCAGCCCCTCAGGTGCGCGCCGCCGCCACCGCCGCCGCCGGCCTCTCGCTAATTCGGCCGCTCTCCCGGCGATCGATGTCGCCACGGCGTGACGTCACCGTGACACAGCGTGACGTCACCGCGACCCCATGCGTTTTCAGCGGGCGCGGCCGCCGCGCGACAGCTGGCATGCAAAGTAATCAATAGTGGCACGGCGAGGAGTGAGACGGGCCGGCCGATGGCGGCGCCGGGCCCGTCCCAGACAGCTGCGAGGGCGCCGCCCGTCGGTAACAGGCAGAATGCGACCGACACCTGCACCGGATGGAAGACATACAATCACACACCCCATATGCCGTACAAAGGGCGCAGCTCAGCATACAGACGGCTCGGCGGAATGGAGCTCGCACGACGTCAGACATACCGGCACGTCGTAATCGAAACCAGCTATCGGAAAATCGCCAGATAAAGCGATGGTCGTCATGAGGCCACAAGGCGGCGGTTGATGGGCTCCAAACCTCAACGAGCGGGGCGGGATATCAAGATGGATTCGTAACGCTGGACGTCGGCAGTGCAGCAGCTTTCAGAATTCAGCAGATCCCGGGCGCTGTCGGAACTGAAGCAATTGATTCATTAATAACATCTGACCACTCCTCACTGACATAAATAAGCACGCCAATCACAAAAGCTCCTCCAACTCATTCACATCGGAGATATATTCCTACCCAGAAATGACATAAAAAATGTATCAGATACAAGCTATAAACAGTACTCGGCGGTTTCGAAGCGTTGGATGCAGTGAAGGAGTCCGCCACAGGGCACAGGCCCGCGGGACGAACGGGCCAAGCGGTTATTAGGGTGAGCGGTCGGGCCGTACCCCACCGAACTGGTGGACTAGGGGCCACCTCGTGTGACCGAGCCGCTACCCCGCTGAGCACAGCGCAGAGCACAGGCCGTGTGGCCCTGAGCTCACGGATTGAGCCGCTACCCTGCTGAGCACAGCGCTGAGCACAGGCCGTGTCGCACTGAGCTCACGGATTGAGCGGCTACCCCGCTGAGCACAGCGCTGAGCACAGGCCGTGTCGCCCTGAGCTCACGGATTGAGCCGCTACCCTGCTGAGCACAGCGCTGAGCACAGGCCGTGTCGCCCTGAGCTCACGGATTGAGCCGCTACCCCGCTGAGCCGACGTCAACCTATGTACCCACCGAGCTGACGGACCGCGTGGCCACCAAGCCGAGCTCACCGATTGAGCGGCCGCCCATTGTGACTGAGCGGCAGCCCTGCTGGACTGCTGCAGAGTGACTGAGCGGCAGCCCTGCTGGACTGCTGCAGAGTGACTGAGCGGCAGCCCTGCTGAACTGCTGGACTGAGCGGCCGCCATGTGGGACCATACGATTGCCCCGCTGAGCTCGCGTCACCCCCGCTGAGCCGGCGGACTGAGCGACTATCCCGCTGAGCTGGCGGACTGAGCGGCTGTTCCGCTGAGCCGGCGGACTGAGCGGCTGTTCCGCTGAGCTGGCGGCTGTTCCGCTGAGCTGGCGGCTGTTCCGCTGAGCTGACGGACTGTGAGCGGTGCAGCGGCGTCGCCGGTCACAGCCGACGGCCGCTGCTGAGATAGGCGGTCGGTCGGCGGCGCCCCCGCTAAGGTAGGCGGTCGGTCCGCGGCGCCCCCGCTAAGGCAGGCTGCCGGTCCGCAGGCGCCCCCGCCAAGGCAGGCTGCCGGTCGGCGGCGCGGCTCCGGCGGGACACCTGTGGGCCGCGCTGCCCCGCGCGCCGGGTGCTGCGACTGGCGGCGCCCGCTCCACCCAGCGTGGTGGCGGTAAGACACCAGACTGCCGGCACTCCGAGCACTGCCGGCCGGCCCGCCTACGGGCCCAGCCGGGCTGATACCCTGCCTGGTGCCGCCGGTAGGCACCCACGCCCGCCCGAGGGAGTCGTGAGCTGGTGAGCCACCGAGCGCCCCGTCCGCCGGCCGGCCCCAGTGCCGGGCCCGATCGGTCCTGCAGCAGGCAGCGAATGGCACGGGCCCGACCGGTTGTCTTCAATGGTCGATGGAGCCGGGCAGAGGTGCGCCCAGACGGTCTGGTCTGATCGATCTGCCGCGGCGCCGGCGGCCGGTCACCGGCCGGCCGACTGAGCGCTGCCGGCCGCAGTCGCTGTCACCTGGCCGCCGCCGGCGCCGGCCGCCCGGCCGGGAGCGGGCGCTCTGCCAGTCGGCCGGGTCCGCCATCGATCGCGGCCGCCGGCAGCTCCCGGCTCTCGGCGCCGGCACCGGCTCAGCACGCCGCGCCGCACACCACCGCGCCCATGGACACTGCGCACCGCACTTCGTACATGCATGTTGCAAGTTGAACAACAAAAACAATGTGGGGTGTCAAAATAATATCAAGAACACTAAAAGAACCAAGAACCAACTATCAAATGTTCACTAATTGACACCTGTTAATGATGGTACTCATTTTCTATTTATTCGTAGTGTTCTTATAGTGGTGGTTATATCCAGTACGGCCCAAACAATCCTCCGTTAGCCTACTCGCTGCGTGGCGTACACAATATACCCATTCTGACAAGTCGTTTATCCTGTGCCGGCCAGTGGACCGACGATAGCACAAAATTATCCGGCCCTCGCAGAACTTTCATCCCTGACAAAAAGCACAAAAAGCAAATGCTTCGGACAACGGCAGAACGTAACTTTTCAAATTACGCTGCTTCATTATTTGCTGGTTAAAATTCAACAAATTTTATGGTGATACCCAGATCAAAATCATGGATTAGCTTGTAACCCTTATCAATCTACACCTATTACTAGATAATCTATGTCATCATTATCGAACCTGAGACCTGTAATCAGGGTGACATTTAACACTGAACAGCTTTTAGTCAATTAGTAAGTAATTCCTAAATTTATTCTTCAGAGTGTATTCACAATGCAATAACTTCATCAATTACTGGCTACACGCGAGTGGATTACACTAGCCTGTTAGCCCTCATTCTCTGCTCTTTGTGCTGAACGTCGAGCCATGCTACTCCTTCTTGAGTCTTCAAAATGAGTGCGCGCGGCCGAGCGGCTCGCTCTGGCGGGGTCAGTGGGCCCCGGCCGTTGACCGCGGGGGGCGGCTCACCTCTCGATGACGTAGAAGTTGTCTCCGTCGTCACCCTGCTGGATGACGTTCTCTCCGGCCGTCACCTTACGCTCGAACATGGCGTCGATGACCTCCTGCATTTGGTGCTGTGGACGACCAACGCAACAATTACATACGCTCTGTTGCTGATTCTCCAGGGTAAAACAATCCAAATTCCAATTTTCTTTAAAGCCTATCCTGGTTTTCCAAATAAAAATAACTGGAATTCAGCTCCCGCAATGCTGCAGCGAGCGGGACACAAAGTAACTAGAAAACAAGTTATTTCCAATGATAACATTGTCTACCAAAACAACGGATCACCAGGCTGATCATTTCCTAGCACCATATGAGTGTACGATTCTGTTTAGATGCTCACGTCTTAAATCTTAGGCCTGACAGTTCATACCTGACTGAGCATCATGAACTATACACTTAACATTTTCTACACGAGCTTCTTCCGTGCTGCATGCATAAAATAGCGACTATGGAATAGGAGATAATTGCTACGATAAATATCGAGCTGAATCCTAGCGTAGTTTACGTCACTCAAGGGTTCATTATTTGTTCCAGAGCTGTGCTCCATCCCTATACGAGAGCGGATGACCAGGACAGGTCTTCTGCATTCGGACCTCGTCTGGCTGAGACCGTCACTGCCAGGCCGCAATGGACCGAGGCAGGATTTCAGAGAGTTAGCGCATCACAATAAGGAATAGGGAACGGAGCGAAAGAGAGCACAGGGAGGATGGGAGGTCAGTCTGCCGCGAGGCGAGGCCGCTCACCCTCACCCTCTTCCCCCGCTGCTGATACCGACCAGTGGACGGTGTAGTGTGGGCTCTGCGCTCCCGGCAACCACTCCCAGTCAGCCCTCTACACTCCCAGGGAACCACTCCCAGTCAGCCCTCTGCGCTCCCAGAGAACCACTCCCTGTCAGCCCTCTGCGCTCCCGGCGACCAGTCCCAGTCAGCCCCCTGCGCTCCCAGAGAACCACTCCCTGTCAGCCCTCTGCGCTACCGTCCCGTCTACAGTCTGCCCTGCTCCCGTCTACAATCTGCCCTACTCCGCCCGGCTCTCGTTTAGAGTCTACCCTACTCTGCCCGGCTCCCGTTTACAATCTGCCCTACTCTGCCGACCCCGTGCGGACACGTATCCCGGGCGGCCGGCGCCCACCGTGTGCTCCAGCCGAGGTCACCGCCCACGGTCGGTCAGAGGGGCCGGCGGCGGACCGCGTCACCGCGGCCCACTCAGACACCGGCCCGGTCACCACAGCGAGCGACCGCCGCCGCCAGCGCTCCACTGAACACTCATCATGATAGTTGACCATTTACAGCCGAATCTTTTAGATGAACTCATGCTTATCAATAAAAGATCCACGTGCTCCATCTGCGAATAACCAGTTACCGAGCACTGGAATCCCTACAAACAAGCAAGGCCCACCATTACGTTAACACCTACCCGGTCTCTCCCCCCCCCCCCGGTCTGTAGGATCACCGGGTCTGCCCCCCCCCCCCCGGGTCGGTCGGGTCACCGGGTCCACCATCCCTGGGGTCTGTGTGGTCACCGGGTCAACCCCTTCCCCCCGGGTCTATCGGATCACCGGGTCTACCCCCCCTCCCCCCCCGGGTCTGTAGGGTTACCGGGTCCACCATCCCCGGGCCTATCAGGTCACCGGGTCAACCCCCGGGTCTGTCGGGTCACCGGGTCCACCATCCCCGGGTCTGTCGGGTCACCAGGTCTACCATCCCCCGGTCACCGGGTCTACCAGTCGACCAGCGGCACCAGTAACGATCTGGGAGCCGTACAGACGTGTGCCGGTTTAGGAGCCGACGGCCCTCTGCTCTCACCGGGGCGCGGCCGCCTCGTCCCTGTGCGGCCCCGCCCCCGCCCCCGCCCCGCCGCGGCTCTCCGGACCGGCCGGTGCAGGTCTCCGGAGAGGGCTGGCGCCCAATTAGGAGACGGGGCCGACCACCGCGACGGCCGCGCACATGGTTATCTACGCCGCGAGTGCCGCGGGGACACGGGGCTTCGGAATCTTCTGGGAGAAAAATGAGTGTAGTAGGGCCATGGCGGGATATCTAAGCAGATATCAGGTGCTTTTAAACTTGAAAAAAAAAATCGAGTGGAAAGATTAACGGATGCTGACCTTGCCGTCTGGCAGTGCACCGGTTCAAATTTTCACGTGGATTATTTCTCAATTATAATAGTAAGCGATGCTCAGCAATCAACAAAAATGAGCAGCTGGGATACTGTCAGCGGTTATCACTCCTTCCTATCCATCGCTTTTCTGAACAACCATAGACCTCTGTATACAGAGGTCTTTGGAACAACAGATCGCATGAAAATCCCGGATGTGACGTTAGGACGTTGCACATATTAGCAGCTGATTATGAAGGGCTGCCGAAATTGCATCCACTAACTACAGGCCGGACCAGGGGTGATGTGGACGGCCACTCCGCGCCCACTACAGGCCGGACCAGGGGTGATGTGGACGGCCACTCTGCGCCCACTGGTCACCGGGCCAGGTGATGTGGAGCGCTACTTACCGGGTCCAGGGCGCGGAACAGCAGGATGCCCTGCACGGCATCGCTGAGGCGAGCGCGCTGCTCGTCCGACTTAGGGAACACGGCCTGCGGACAGACGGGTGGGTCAGTGGACAATCAACATCCCGACGGACAGACGGGCGGGTCAGTGGACGGTCACGGGGCCTGCGGACAGACGGGTGGGTCAGTGGACGGTCACGGACTGGCGGGAGGGTCAGTGGAGGGCGACGGATTGACGCGAGGGTCAGTGGACGGCGACGGATTGACGCGAGGGTCAGTGGACGGTCGACATCCCGGCGGTCAGACGGGTGGGTCAGTGGAGGGCCACGGATTGACGGGCGGGTCAGTGGACGGTCACGGACTGACGGGAGGGTCAGTGGAGGGCCACGGATTGACGCGATGGTCAGTCGACGGTCGACATCCCGGCGGTCAGACGGGCGGGTCAGTGGACGGTCACGGGGCCTGCGGACAGACGGGTGGGTCAGTGGACGGTCACGGACTGACGGGAGGGTCAGTGGAGGGCCACGGATTGACGCGAGGGTCAGTCGACGGTCGACATCCCGGCGGTCAGACGGGCGGGTCAGTGGACGGTCACGGGGCCTGCGGACAGACGGGTGGGTCAGTGGGCGGCCACGGACTGACGGACAGACTACTGTATTGTCACAGGTCCTATTCACGGACGGACGCGTGGGTTACCGGACGGTGCGGGATCACGGACAGCCGGGGTGCAACAGTCCCATACTCCTCTCCACCCCCAGTTCCGTGGCGCACGGGGACCGCACCAACGAACATTGAAACACGGCAGTGCCACCGGCAGCACGACGGCGCAACAGATTGACAACTTCGAGTCGGCAGTAATTCGTCAGAGCACGACTTACGCACGGAAAAATGCTATATATGGCTTTAACTGCTGTGCAGGTTACCAATGAAATGTTTGAGCATCATTATCAGTAGCAATATAAGTACAAACATTATGTTCATTGCTCACGCTTTGCCCCTAAGCCGGGAGAAAGAGCGAGGAAGCCCGCTTCGTTTGACAGGCGGACGTCACGGGGCGACGGGAGATATCAGGACGAGTAGAAACTGCCGGGGCTCTGACGGCTTCTGTTGACGCGCAGAGGGACGGCGGACAGATAGGAAAGGCGGCGGTGACGGGCTCATGGTGACTGTCGACGGCTCACGATACACAGTCGCCGCGGCGGCTCACCGCAGCGCCACCGGCCGACGACTCGCCGCCTTTTTGTGCCGCTTTCCTGCAGCAAAAACTGAAGTGGCCTAATCCGGCGGGTCGAACGGAGCGCCGCGCCGGGGGACGGCAGAGCGCGGTGCCGGGCCCGCCGGCCGGCGCCGCTCGGCCGTCACCGCGCGTCACGCCAAGACCGGTCCGGTCCGGCACCGGTCCGCCGGCCGTGTGCAGTTCGGGCCGCCGCCGCGACGGCCCGCGCTCCGCTCGGCGCCCGACTGGAGCACACAAAAGGCCGGACAAGCGCTCCTTGGTGCCCGGCTCGGCCTGGTGTCGGTGAGCAGATGGCCGCTGGACTCGGCACTCAGCTCGGCGGGCATCCGCTGACCAGGCGCGGTATCCCGCACAGCGCCCACTGCGCACAGTGTGTGTACTGGTGCCAGAGACTGTTGGTAAGTTCCGGTAGGCGTCTCCACCGGCCGCGGCCGGGTCACGGCGAGCGGTGCACGGCCGCGGCCGCGCCGGGACGGAGGCCGCTCATCTGATGAGAGGGTAACCACGCCGTCCCGATAGGCCGGACACTCGTCCCGGCTATCACGGCTGTGGCGCCGCAGGGCGGCCGGCCCGGCCCCCCTGTGTCGGCGCTGTCAGAGACCGGCGCGACGGAATGCAGTCAGCCGCGCCAGCCGACCGGCCCAATCGGGTCACATGCGCAGCCGGCACTTGGGGAGAGGCGATAATGAGGATCTTAGGCGACCGCTCTCAGGGCATGGTAACGCGTTGTGGGGGGACGAGTGGCCACCCGTCGCGTCATAGACTAGCCAGTCGCGCGCGGCCCGGCGCCGGCCGGAATCGGGGAGTGGCGCTGCATAACGGTCAGCCGGCGGCCCGTCACGCCAGCCGTGCCGCGGTGCCAACTGGTTCGCGCGGACCCCGGCGGCCGCACCGGCACGGAGCGCCGCGCTGCTTCACACCGGACGGCCGCAGTCGGCCGATCGCCCGCCGCAACAAGTCGGCCGGCATTAAATAAACATGGCGGTGGGGCCGTCCGGGCCGCAGCTGCAGCCAGCCGGCCGGACCGGCTCCCAGCGGCGCGACTCGGCGACAGAGCCGCGTGACCGCCCCTCCCTCGGGTACACCAAGGTGACCACAACACCTGCCAGCGCTGTCCAACACTGTCCGGCGCCAAACTGCCCTCGTCAGGCTACGGGTGGAAGCAGGGACTGAGGCTTTTCGCCGCTGCAGAAATGCCGTGGCGCTGACGCCGCAGAACATGATTTTATCGACCATATTGTATCGACCTCGTGGGGAAAAAGGATCGAAGTGGACCTCAAACCATATAATCCGTCATTACAACAAAATAGTTGTGAAGACAGTGTCGGCTTTCGTACACAAAGGGACAAAAACACTATTATATAGGTATTCTAGGTATAGACATTTCCAAAGCCAATGAGTTCCATACAGCTGTCTGGGCCGCCGTAATGCCCTGCCAGCTCGGTGCACTGTCTAGTCGGGTCGGTGTGTAGCTCAAAAGAGCAACGTTTTAAAGTCACTACTCAGTTCAGGGGCCCAAAGCTGCTCTTGAAATGTTTGCAGTTATGCATGAAATCCGGGAGCACACTGAAGACATTACGATTCTTGAAAACAGTCTGGAATCCATTAGCAGGTCCATTGGCAGTGCTATTTCTGTTTTGGAGGGCGATTACAGCTGAGTGCCGTTCGGCCGGGATCGTTTACTGCCATGTGAGCCATGAGTTTGGGCCACGCGACCGGGCGCCGCTAGCCGAGCGCCGTTGTCCGCAGCGGCCCCGGCCTCGGACACCTCGGTGTCGTACAGCAGCGGTCGGTGTCGTACAACGGCAGCCCATGTTGTACCAAATCGGGTCCGGCCGGTGTCGTACCACAGCGGTCATTGCCGATCCACAGCGGGCCCATGTGAGCCGGTGCCGTACCGCAGCGGCCGCGACCCCGGCCGGTGTCGGTACTCGGTACCCCAATGATCGGTGTCGGTCGGCAGCGGCGGCCACCCCGGCCGGTGTCGGCCGTCCGGTGTCGGTCGGCAGCGGCGGCCACCCCGGCCGGTGTCGGCCGTCCGGCCAAATCAGCGGCTCTGTTTGCCGAGCGATAGAGGCGGCGCGAGGCGGCGCGGCGGCTGCAATCTCGGCGCCGCCCCGCCGGCCGATACCCGGCCCACTATCGAGCCGTCAAACAGCCGCACGGCCGCGCCCAGCTATCTCACGGCTTACGTCGCTCCGCGCCAGTACCGGCCGGCGGCCGCCTCCCGCCCTCTGCCGGCTCAGCCGAGCGGCCCCCTGCGCGGCCGTAAATTAAATGATAACACCTGACTTTTGCAAGTGAATATCAAGAGACTGAAGCATTGATCTCGAAACTCAATTTTTATGTATGTGACTTGTGAGCCTAGAAGCCATTTATGGAAATTTGCACCATTCTATATTGCTGCTAAAATAACGAAAATCGAAAATTGGTCGGAAAGATAGGCAATTCTGTTTGGCTGCAATTATCTGCGAATCATGCAGCGTTTTCCGTAGCATTGATTTCGAATTTTATTAAGTGGGTAAATACCGCCCCATTAACGACCCGCCATTGATTTCCTGTTTCCTAAATGAGATTACGTATATCAAATGTGTCCTGAAGATGGGCTTCCGGGGCCGATTACCGCGGTCTAGGACACATGTTCGCAATGTCTGGGCCATGGTCTGACTCTGGGCTGACCTCCCGTACAGAATCAATGGACTCGGCAGCGGACTGGATGGCGGGTGCGTGGTTATTTCAGCAGCCGGAGCTCTCCAATCCACTGGAGGGGTGCGGTTTGACTGTGCTCCTGGGCCTCTCCGCTGTGCCGCTCTGTGACTGGGTGGAGCCGGCCGGCCGCATTAATGACCTCTCTGTTATCAGCGCTGGCGGAGGCGGGACACGGAGAGCCGGCCGGCAGTGGGCGGGCGGAGGGAGCAGAGCCGGCCGGCAGTGGGCGGACGGAGGGAGCAGAGCCGGCCGGCAGTGGGCGGACGGAGGGAGCAGAGCCGGCCGGCAGTGGGCGGGCGGAGGGAGCGCCGAACGAAACCGGCCGGCGAACGGGCCGCCGCCTCTCAGCGGGACACCGCCCCCGGCCGCCGCCCGTCTGATCGCCCACCGCCCGGAACAAACGGTCCGTGCCGGCGCCCCTGGTGCCACAGAGAAAATCGGCACAGCCCACCTCCAACGCCCTGTTCAAAGTCACAAAACAATAGCAAACAGCCCTGATCAGCTTTGGGCGTGCTTAGCTGTGAATAAATGAGCGTTTCACGACATAAGACCTACATAGGAGCGAGTCATTACTCATGCTGCTACGAAACGTGTCCGAGTTTTTTCTTCTTTTTCTAGCCACACGGCTGTCATTGAAAGCCGACTTGTCGATAACATTTGACAAGTATACATGTTAATTACGCCCACCGATAAACCAGGACAGCGCGGGTCCCATCTGTGTTGTAAGAGGTCCGGCGATTTCCAATTAGGGAGTGTTGGAGCCGCGCCCATCCGGCTCCGAGTCCGGTGATTTCTTATTAGGGAGTGTCGAAGCAGCGCCCATTCTACGGAGGCGAGGCAGCACTGCCAGCAACGGAGCGGATCGCGCAGACCAAGTGGCCCGGCCTGACCGGGGCCAGCACCACCGGGGCAGGACGGTCGTCTGACCTGACCGAGGCCGGCTCCACCGCCGCGGGGGCGGGCAGTCCGCTGCAGCTCCGGACCGGAGCGGACCGACTGACCGCCGCGGGGGCGGGCAGTCCGATGCAGCTCCGGACCGGAGCGGACTGAATGGACTGACTGACCGCCGCCGGGGCGGGCAGTCCGCTGCAGCTCCGGACCGGAGCGGACCGACTGACCGCCGCGGGGGCGGGCAGTCCGCTGCAGCTCCGGACCGGAGCGGACTGAATGGACCGACTGACCGCCGCGGGGGCGGGCAGTCCGCTGCAGCTCCGGACCGGAGTGGACTGAGTGGACCGACTGACCGCCGCGGGGGCGGGCAGTCCGCTGCAGCTCCGGACCGGAGCGGACTGAATGAACTGACTGACCGCCGCCGGGGCGGGCAGTCCGCTGCAGCTCCGCTCCAGTGCAGGCCGCCATCGATCGCTGACGGGACGCCGATCAATGCTCAATCAATGCCTGCGGTCAACGCGCCGCCCTTCTCCACCAAACGACCGGTGGTTAAGTTTCAATGTGCGCCCGTGCAGGATTCCATCACCAACTATCCGACGGTCTGCAGCGGCCCAGGCGGCGTCCACTGCTGTCCGGCCGCGCCCTCGACATGTCTACACGGCGGCGCCGGTCCCCGGTGGTCGGGGGGACTGGCCGACTGTCAGCCGTCTCTGCAGCAGGTAGCCGCGCCGAGTGACAGCCGCCGCCGGCCGCGAAAATAATGAGAGGGGAGGGGACGACAGGGCCGCGCGGGGAGGAAGGGAAGAGAGGGAGGCAGAGGCAGAGAGATACGCGAAGAAGCCAGAATCCGACTCGCAGGTGCTGCAAGGCAGCCGGAATGTGCGCGCACACCGCGGGGTTGCCGGTCGGAGCGGTAAGTACGGTCGACTGACCGGACCCGCTGGCGGCGCGCTCCCAGTCGGTTTGGAGTGGGCAGTTCGGCACCCAGTACTCACCTTCTGACCCTCGTCATCGTCCTCCTCCGGGTTGTAGGCCTCGGCGAACACCGACTTGCGCCGGTAGTTGCAGTTCTGTGGCGGTCCTGTGGACAGAAACGGAGCCAGTCAGAGGCGCGCGGCCCGGCGCGGTGGGAAGGAAAACGCCGCTCGCCTGGCCTTGTCCGGGCCGGTGATGTAAGACGAGTCGGCGCCGCAGTCGGTCCGCGGGCCGGGCCTGGCCGACAAACAGAGCCACACGTCACCGGCCGCTCCCCGCGGCGGCTGTCCGCCCGCAGCACCCACACAGGCACCAACTCGGCCTACATACACCAACGGCAAGTGGCTCAGGTGGCTTACGATTAACTATCACTAACAATAAATGTCTGACTGAGCTAATCCATTGTGAAATCCTAACGGCATGGGACCATCCTCGAGACCTCTGACAATGAAGACACACTTTGGGTAGCTGACGTACTATCACAGATCATCCATGGACCGAGACCGCATGTATTGACCGCTGCTCGCCGCAATCCGTGTCTCGGAGGGTGGGATGGTGTGGTGTAGTGATGCCAATTACGGAAAATCGTGATACCGGTACCAAGCCAAATACCCACAATATCCATGGAAAAATACCGAAACGGGGAATTTGGGAATATGAGGAAAATACCAACTTTTTACCAAATTATCAGCCTCTTTTACATTAGTGAGGATTCATAATACCAACAAAATACCAAATGCACTCGCCTTGAGATGCCAAATACCAAGCTGGTATACGTTTGGTATCGGTACCTATACCAAAAGGTTGGTATCCGACTGACATCTCTAGTGTGGTGCAATGTTTGAACACCTTTCTCCGGCGGGCGTATAAAAACAGGCCGGCCGGCACGGAGCCGATTAACATTCAGGGTATGTACGGGGCCAGTGTGCACGTTTCACGGCGCGGCGCCCGATACGATCGCCACCGGCGCGGCGGCCGGTGGCGGGACAGCGCGCCCGCCCGCTCCAGGAGCCCGGTCCCTGTCCGTGGTCCGTTTCAGCGCTACACCCACTTTATGGCGCCGTCTGTGCAGGCTGATGAGGATTAATCAGGGCAGCCGGCCGTTACTGGCAGCAGAGCGAGGCGCGATACCCGGGCTGGCGACCACCGGCGCGGCGGCTGGCGCCGCGCTCACCGCGCTGTGGCGCCGCCGGAAGTGATCAGAGGCGCATGCACCTGCACATCAATCTGGCGCGGAAGGACAACTACAAGTGCTCTTTACTCGGCAATCAGCCCACTCGAAAGGAACCCGCTCAAATGTCAGTCGTGCACCACTCTTAAGTTCACAGTATGCATGTGAAAGGGAAGGGGTAGCGACATTGAGATTTGAGCGTCCTCCATTTCTGAGAGCATGGACGACAAGCACGGATGTGAGGACTCTAAACCGGTGACCTCTGAGGACAGGTCAAGTGGCCCGAGGTACGGGCTCGGTTTTTGGCGAACAACTTTGCAAAAAAATGATCGCAAAGCCGCGATTTTGAAAGCATCGTGTTCGCCTTACTTGGGCGCGTCGAATGGTATGCTTTTTGTTTGGGTGAGGTCAACTTAAGATGTTGATCTCGGGTCACGGTCAGGTCAGAGCCCACCAGGTCACGAACCTGGTCGAAGGAGGTTATGTCGCATATCATTCGATTCGGCAGGTCTTCCCGAGTCAATTGGTGGCTTTCCCGACTCGCTAGCTCAATTTGATCAGGTGTAATTGACGAAAAACTATTATGACCCTAGTGACATCATAAACGACGTCATGCAAGGTCAACAATGCAAAAGTGAAGTATCGAAACTTGCAAAGATTGGATGAAATCACGATTCCTTGTAGTTGAAATAGTTTGAGATTGTTCCTGGCGCCTAAAAAGCAGTTTTCATTTTTTCCCATTGAAAAATCCGAGATACGTATACAAGTTGTGAGACTCGTAATGGACACTAGTGACTAGATCCTGAAAGTTTCATCTCCCTGTGAATGCTCCTCTGGCAGTGAGGGCGTTGCGAAGTTGCAACATCTGAAGACCGTGCAGATGTTCACTTATGACGTCATAGGTCAGTGACCTGACCTGACCCGAAAATGCAATTGGTGTCAAAAGATCCGGCTTGAATCAAAAGTCAGGTATGTCAAGCTTCAGCTCTCCATCGCCAGCGTGTTCGGAGCTAGCGCAAAAAAAAAACTATGGGGGCGACACCCGCCCCACCCCACGGCCGGCGAGCGTTAAATTAGTTCAAACCTAAGCATGATGCATTGGCTGTAAGCAGCATGCTGATTGGCTGACAATGACGTGGCTGCGTTCTTCTGCAAGGTACACATTCCTCTACAATGCACTCTTTTCGGAACGAGAAATGGAATATCTTTGCCGAGGGTGATCGTTGGGCCGTAAAAGCTCCCGATTTGTGCTAGTCTCAGCTCAAGCTACAAAACTGCTATTACACTTCAAGACCCCATATTAAAAGTGATATATTTCCTTTAAGCGCCCGCTCGTCCATCCCCGCTACGTTGACACAGAGACAGAGACAGTGGGCCGGCCGCCAGCCCGGTGCGCGCGCGGTGGTCAGCGGCCAACCGCTCCCGACCGGCCAGCCGGCCGCTGACAGCCGGTCGGTGAGCGCGCGGTGGTCAGCGGCCAGCCGATCCCGACCGGCCAGCCGGCCGCTGACAGCCGGTCGGTGCGCGCGCGATGGTCAGCGGCCAGCCGCTCCCGACCGCTGACAGCCGGTCGGCGGGGCGCAGTGTCCGTACTGCCGTCGTGGGCCGCCGCTGGGACGGACAGCAGGCCGCCGAGCGGTCAGTCGCTGTGAGCACAGCGCTGCTCCGGCGCACACAGGTGTGACTGAGCACAGCGCCGTGCACAGTCACACACACCGCGCGGCGGCTCACACACCAAGGCCGCACCGACCCGGCACGTTCGGCTGAGAGCCCGAAAACCGAGATGTCATCCCTCCCACCACCTCACACACCACACCAACCGATGGCCGCATGGCGCCAGCGCCGCTGGCCGCTCACTAGCCGCGACCGGCCAACTCTTACAAACACCGCGGAATAGATATGGCAGCATTGCCTGAAGTTTGGGTCCAAAAAACGGCTGTTTAATGCACATTGGTTTTTACGCATTTCAGTCCATCGTATGTTGACAGTCTCAAGAATCGTTTCATTGATTCGGATACGTAGTTGATAACACTATGCATTATCACTGGCACTGTTACCAAAATGCCGTGAATAAGATGGCACGCCATTTACAAGATTAAGCCCTTACAGGAGTGCCTCACACAGTCACACCCATGTCCCGTATGCCCACACCACACCCCCATTCAGTAATAGGGGCACCTATTAACGATTAGTGGCGTGCTTGGCGGTGTGTTTTTACTTTGTAGCCCCACGAGGGAATAACGAATGCGCCACGGGTGCTGACGGCCTCTAACAGCCAAAAAACGAGGGACTGACGAGGGACTGGTTTGAAGTCGACCGAGAGGAGTGAACACTAAAGCGCCATAACCCACCGAGCACATAACATCTGAGGTCGGTGAGGTGTCCGCCTGGGCGACTGGGCGGGTCGCAGGCCCGCCACACAATCTATCCGGCGTTACCCTCCGGCCTTAGGAGGCCGGGCGACTCAGAACGCCTTGGCAGAGCCATACACCTTCCCCACCGAACCCTCACACCACAATCGGCCGGGTCCGCCTGCAGGAGAGAGAAAAACGATACAGAGCCGACAAGCGCCAACGTAGCGCGAAATGCCATCATTTAGAGCAGCGGTCGGCAGGTCCCCCGGTGGTGCCCCTTTTTGGGGGCGCCGGGCGGGGCAACTATCCCCCCCCCCACCAGACCCCATTGTTTACACAAGGTTCACTGATATTCCATAGGTTTGGTTGACTATACTTTTGCATATGAAATGCAACACAACTAACCCTCGCAAAATAGAGGTGGTATAGGTAGGATAAACCTTTCCGTTTTTTTTTTAATACAAATAACTCGCGTAATAAGCAGCGTACTGCAACGAATCTTTCAGTAACCCAGAGTTACTAAATTTTACATTTTCTATAAGATTTGCATGACGCTGATTTAAATAACCTTCACCTCTCAAGACTACGCCAAGCCAGAATGGCGAATCGGCGCATGTTAACACAACATCTTACATATCGGTACGTTTGCAGACCTTTTGTTCTAAGAAACGTGCCAACATATGCAATTGCTTTTCCAATTATGCAATTGTGAATTATGGTGGATGTCAATGTCAGGTGAATGTGAAGTCAAGGTCTTTTGGTGTCATTTGCTTACTTTTTTAGTTCATAACTTTTAGGGTAGCATTGGAGTTGATTTCGAATAAACACACATCCAATGTTTGTGGAGAATCAGTTTTAGTGCCCATGCACCATGCTGCTAAGCAGTAAGCTGCCGGTGTTGGTATTCTATGGATAGCTGGCGGGACGCCTGATGGTTGACTTGCCCTGGCCTGATACGACCTACCACAAATACGTAAATACACCATCTTCGAACAAAACAAATGCGACATTCGAAATCGAGATACCGAAAACTCTCATAGGAACCTTAGTTCAAGAAGTTTTGGCAGTTCCCGATCTTCCACTCGTTTGGGTCATTGACCCAAATGTGCAAGGTCAAAAAGTAACCTAGGCCCTTTGAATTGGCATCATCGGCTTATTCTCGTCACGGGCAGCACGCTCGTCTCATTTTTCTTTCCCTACAAAACCTAGCTCGATCAGGGGTTGATCAGCTCAGATTCTGAGCGAACTCCCTCCCCCTCGCCCCTCCTACGATCGGCTCGGATTCTGAGCGAACTTCTCTCCTCCTCACCCCTCCTACGCTGGCTGCCGTGAAAACACCGACTCCGGCGAGGGCTAACACATGGCAGTTGTTTTTGCACGACTGCACGAAACGATAATCAGCTACATGAAAATTGGCATTCGCCACCTAACCAATTCGCGCTCACTGAGGGCGTTTGGCCTGGACTAGTCTCCGCATCCTGGGCTTTGTCTCGAATTTCGCCGGACCAAACAGCCACGACGTCCGGCTGTCCCATCAGAAGAGTCAGGAATTCTAAAACATTGTTTTCCCAGAGGCCCTCATTGCCCCCAGGGAGGGCTCCGATACCGAGGGGGAGGGAAGGGGGCATGCCTCATCATTCGCCGGCCCCTAATCTATGCAAACGTTATCAATCACTAGGTGACGACTCAAGTGGGGCTTCTTACCCATCGAGATCGTACCAATAAGACGCCTTTTGGGAGAAGAACGAGCGAGCGACAGAGTGAGCCCCACTCGTGCTGAAATGCGACCGGGTGCTTCCAACTGGCTTGTGCAAGGCACCCTAGGTACTTACAGATCTATAGCATTGTGCCAAATTTGAGCGCAATCGGCCCAGCCGTTGAGATCTGGAAGCGTCACCCTGCGTGTGCGCAGTGCGCACGTGCACAGTGGGTCCCATCCGACTATTGCACTGCACCGTCCTACTTATCAGTCCCTAACCGTATACCAAATTTGAAAGTAATCGGCTCCTCCGTTCTCGAGATTCTCGAGATGCACCTCTTCTTTTTGTATTTTGCAAGTGCAATGCAAGTACACCCCATGCAACGAAAGTATCCGATATTTGGTAGAAGGGATGCAACTACCCTACCAAAATTACGGCAAGTAAATCACCCCAGCGGTTGCTGATAATTGAGATATATAGGCCTCTCAAAAGCACTACTTCAGCAGAACAGCTTGAAGACCCCGACTTTTCACGTGGCACGTGCCACGACGGTCACCTTTATGCATAAAGAAGAGTCAATTACAGGGTAGAAGGAATGGGGCTAACCGAAAAGAAAGACCAGTTATCGGCCCCGCCGTTGCTGAGACATAAGACTCAAAAGCGTTACAGGCCAAAAGCGTGTTGGGTCGCTCATACTGAGATTTTTTTCCGTTATATTGAAAAGACTCCGCATCGCTCGCTCGCTGGTAATAATGTCAGATCTCTATATAGGATAGGTATCTATCTCGAGCTCTATACAGTATACATATCTCTTATATATCCTACAATATAAGAGATCCATGTGGTGTTATCTACCCGTAATACAAGACGCCCCATTTGCAAAGTACGTACTTACAAAAGCTCAGTTATGCCGGAATGCAGCATCCTCGATTTTTTCACTATTTGATTAAATTGAGAAAAGAGGAGACTGTAACAAAATACTATTAAGCGCGTGGTAAAACAAGTACTACAGGATCGAGTTCATAAAGCGTGATCAGTGATCACCAATGGCAGCAAGAGGGCAGCCGAGGTCGGCCACCATCTACCGATTAATTTACCGTCAGAAATGTGCGCACTGCATGTGTCCGAGGTGTGTTGGTTTGCAGTTTAGACCACTCCCTGCCCACCGCCCACAGACCGCTGCCCGGAGCGGGCGCCCGCGGCCGACACCGACCGGCCGCCGGTTAGGACCGTGCCCACAGACCGCTGCCCGGAGCGGGCGCCCGCGGCCGACCCACCTTCATCCTCCGACATCATCGAGTCGTCCTGGTCGGAGACGCCGCCATCCTGCACGTTGTTGGTGTCGGCCGGAGCCAGCTTGCTGTTGGCGCCGCTCTCATTGAGACGCGTGAAGTACTGGACGGCGTAGGCCACCAGGTTGTCGGGCTGGTTGACGAGCACGTTGACGGTGAACTCGAGGAGCAGGTCCTCGAGCTGCGGCGGCACCTCGTAGTGGCGCGTGGTCATGCCGGCGCCGCTGTCGGCAGGCGCGCGCGGACACCGGTCAGACACGGCCGCTCGGCTGCACGCTCGCTCCGACACAGGTGGGCGGCTATCGGCCGCCGCGGCCCGGGCCGGCACAGCTCTCCCAGGGCGCGCCGGCCAGCGCCGCCCGCACCGCTCTATCGGCCGATAGCAGGGCCAGTAGAGTGCGGCCCATGACGAGCCATCAGTGGCCGCGCCACATGACACCAACCCACGGCCGGCACCCTGTCCGCTCAGGTCATGTAGTAGATCTATTATTTTTAACCGCAAAAATATGAGTTAGCATAGCAAAATTGTGCGTCCATCAAAGTGCACATTGTTACAGTTGTCTGACACTGCAACACGCTGAGCGGCAAAAAGGCATTTTTGCACCATCCAATCTCAGAACTGCTATTTGATCAACGAAATTCACACGGCATGCATATAGCTCATGCAGATTGGTCCCCTTAACCCTATTCCTGGCGGGCTCCGCCGGGACAAGAAACTGGCGGGGGGGGGGCCGATTCGGCCCCCCTCAGATCTCAAAAACTACACATCGCAGCGACAAACGGTAAACGGCATCGGATACGCACGGTCGAGATCTACAATTTTTACTAAGGTCATTTTCAGGTCAGGTCAAAGATGACGTCACAGGGGTCGAAAAAGTCAAAATGGCGGCGCTAGGTATGGAGAGTTTTTCTCGAATAACTTTCGAATTAGTCAAGATAGGAACAAACTAAGGGCATCATCGTGATCCTCTCGTCAATCCGCATCGAATGATATATATGTTGACCTCGAAAGGTCAAGGTCAAAGGTTGACCTCAGGTCACGTGACCTCGAGGTCATCATGTATATCATTCGATGCGCCTTGACGAGCTGAACACAATGAGACCATCCACGCGTCTGTATCTTGTTCCTGTACGGAGTTATTGGCCAAAAACCTTTGGTGACCTTTGATGACGTCACATGACCTCACAGCTGCCCAACAGCAAAACAGACCTCAAGGTAGTGAAGGTTGATCGTATATGAAGTCATGTATGGTATATGGGGCCATTCCAACCCGTTTTAGTGGTAAAAACAGGGAGTTGATTTTTCCCCCATTGACTTATAATGGGGAGGTCGCGAAACTGACCTGACCTTAGGTCACCGATATCAAAATTCCGAGATATACAAATTGCACATACTGGTACCCTAACTAAAGCCTGAAGAGAAGAAATTGATCGGCCAAAAACTCTAGCTCTGGCGTGATTGCAAACTTTTCTGAGGTAGGGTCACCAAACCGCCTCTGGTGACCTGACCTGAGGTCAGATCAACTCAAAATTTTCAGACATGTTGCGTAGAAGCCTTTTAGGAAACGTCAGAAAATTTGAGCTTCCTAGCTCAACGCGTTTGGGAGAAATAACCAAAAAACCTCAGGGGGGGCTCCTGAGGCCCCCCCCCCGCCAGGAATAGGGTTAAAAAGATGCCACCGGTAGGATCGAAGAGCAGCGTGTCTCGTTTACGCTCTTTCCATTAGACCAATCGCGACTTTTCGAAATTAACCTTCATCGTGTACAATTTGTGATAGAACGTAACACAGGTTTAATGATGCCACTGATACATAGGTGTAGGAACAGGGGGGGGGACGGGGGGGGCCGGTGGCCCCCCCCCCCCACCTTTCATAGTGGGGGGCCAGTAATGTTAACTGGCCCCCCCACTTTTTGCCGAACTTTTTAATGTATTTGTAGGTATCACCCCAAAGAACAAACTTGACGGTTCTCCGGCCTGCCCTTCCATGAAGATTTCCATTTGTGCTTCATCGTTATTGAGTGCAATTTTCCTCCACCGGGCAATGAAAGGTAACTTTGTCAGAAGCAATAAGTGGCAGCTTAGGGGCAGCGCGCACTGCAAAGAGAGACAATAGTTACTGGCGCAGCAGAATGCGTAAACGGCGTAAACTAACAATTTATGTTAGGCGGCCTTGCATTAGTTGATCGGTTACTGGCATAGGCGTAGGAACAGGGGGGCAGGGGGCAATGGTCCCCCACTTTCGAATGGGGGCCAGCAATGTTAACTGCCTCCCCCCCCCCCCCCACACACGTACCTTTTGCTGACTTTTCACTTCTCACGTTTCACGCTCGCTCGTAATAAAAAATGTTTTTGGATGCTTCAGGAATTCGCATGGGTGCCAACCAGTGGCGGATCCAAGGTGGGGTCACATGGGCCATGCCCCCTTGGGGCCCGGGGGCACCACAGGCCTACCAGGGGCACCACCGACCTATCAGGGGCACCACAGACCTGACAGGGGCACCACCGGCCTGTCAGGAGCACCATCGGCCTAGCAAGAGCACCACTGGTCTGCCAGGAGCACCACAGACCTGTCAGGGACACCACAGGTCTTCCAGGGGCACCAAAGGCCTTCCAGGGGCACCACCGGCCTCGCAGGGGCACCTTGGGCCTGTCAAGGGCACCACGGACCTGTCAGGGGCACCTCAGGCTTGTCAGGGCCCAGGGGCACCACAGTCCTTTCAGGAGCACCACAGGCCTGTCAGGGGCACCAGAAGCATAGCAGGGGCACCACAGGTCTGCCAGGGGCACCACGGACCTGCCAGGGGCACCACAGGCTTGCCAGGGGCACCCACTGGCCTCGCAGGGGCACCTTGGGACTGTCAGGGGCATCACGTGCCTGTCGGGGACACTTCAGGCTTGTCAGGAGCACCACAGTCCTGTCAGGGCCCAGGGGCACCAGCGGCCTAGCAGGGGCACCACGGCCTCGCAGGGGCACCACCGGCCTCGCAGAGGCACCATGGGCCTGTCGCTGGCACTTCAGGCTCGTAATTAGCACCACAGTCCTTCCAGGGGCACCACAAACCTGCCAGGGGCACCTGCGGCCTAGCAGGGGCACCACAGGCCCGCCAGGGGCACCACAGGCCTGCCAGGGCAAAAACAAATAAATAAAAAATGAAAATAGGGCACCACCAAAATTAAGTGGCCGAAATCAGTTGAGGTTTTAATTTTGGGTATAGGTAGGGGCACTACTTCGATTCATGACCCTCCCCTTGGAGTTTTCCTGGATCCGCTCCTGGTGCCAACGCGGCTGCGGAGGCCAGGGGGACGCGTCCATGAGATTTAATTTCTGGACGGGAGTCTCCCCGAGATTTTGGTCGATTTTTTTCTTGTCACGTTTTTTTTTACCAATTTGAGCATGCTTGCGAAAATGGAGTGGCCGAAATCCGAGGAGAAAATGGATTTTGGGGGTAGCTTAGGTTTTGTGCCTCTGGGAGCCTGGCCCCCCCCCTTTCGAAAACGCTCCTACACCTATGCACTGATAGCCACCCAGCCTCCCAGTCGTGGGTTAATCTGAAACATTTACCTTTTTAATAAATCTAGCTCGAATGGTTGAATGGAATGAATGACACACCTAGAGCTCACGCTAAGCAGAGCCTGTTACGGAGGCCCCGACCCTTACCGTCCGATCATGCAAGTTCAGTAAATCGGGCGATTTTCTTTTAAGCGTGCTACATATAGCCAAATTTAATCGTGCTATGTATTATGTATGGTCACAGCCGCAAATAGTCCGTTCCGCTCGGCGAATTTAAGTAGCTGCGGCCGCTGCCGCTAGCTGCAGACGCCATCCCCGACACTCGACAGGAGTCTCTTTCGTCGAGTGCCGCGGCCAGCCAGAGTGTCACATCTCCGAATAAATAAATATTCATCAGCCGAGATGGTGAGTGCACGCATCTTTTTCAGACTACCTTGACATCCAAAGTTTTTGTTTGGCTTGCAATGTTGAATATACAGTAAGGACATCCAAGGTTTTTTGCTTGCAGTGTTGAATATACCGTTAAAATTGATCAATTTTACACCTACCTTAAAAAAAAATCATGAACCTGACCCAAACGACCTTTGTCCTGTGACTTGTTTCTCGAGACCATATTCGGACGGAATTGCGATTTGTCGTATGCCAGCTCACATTATCCGCGCGTTAAGAGTAAACGTTAAAACATGTGAAATGCAGTTGCTTGTCCCATGAATTATGATGGATGTCAAGGTCACGTTAAGTAAAGGTCAGGTCAAGGTCACTGACCTTTGATAGCCTTCCTCCACTTTTTCGAGTGTTACGTGTTTCTATGGTAGTTTTTGGAGCTGATTTCGAGGTTAGCATCCATTTGAACATTTACGAAGAAGCCTTGGCCGCCTTAGTAAGTGAATCGTAACATGTTATTAAGTTGTCAGTGGTGGTTGACACCTACTATGGATAGCTGTCAGCACTCTTCTGGTTGACCTGACCCAACCTGGCCTAAATACACAAATGAGATCGAAACTAGCATGAAATTCGTGATCAGCACCCAGAAAGCCCCTGGTCAACCTCACTTTACAAAGTTCTAACAGGTCCCGATTTTCCCGACTTATGCGTCATTCCTGACAGCCGTAAACTCCGGCCAGTGCTGCCAAATCCTATTCACGGCATTGGTAAGATTGGGCCCTGGAAGGTCAACCAATAATCTAGGACCTTAACGTTGAGCTGAGGCCAGTTTTACCAAAAAATACCAGCCGGCCGCCGAAATAAAATATCCAGCCGAAAAAATAGACGCCACACAGCAACGAGTTTCACCAACAAAAAAATTCCAGCCGACTTCGGACGGAAATTATTTGTCGCCGGTAGTCAGCTGATATTCTGTTACGATATCAAATTACGATATGTCAAGGAGATTAAGAAATCATTTAAAGCATGTTTTCAATCAAATTGAAGCGTGATTTCTAATGCAAATGCTATATACATTTCGAAATATTATAATCGTAAATTAATACATTATTTTCAAGAGTAATAACAACAAAGTAGAGCATTATAAACTTTCACATCTATATTAACATTCTGGTGCCCAGCAAAAGCCAATACAATACAAAACTACCAAATTGTAAACGTAGGCACGTCATTCATAAAGGTGACGTAAGAAAGCTTGCATTTAAGACAAATTTAAGATGGATCTTTTTTTCTGTCAGCCTATTATATTAATTTTTACAATACCTTCA